GCGGCGGCCTGCTCCCGCCCTCCCCGGGCATCACACCTTGCTGGCCAGGGGCGCTCCGTGAACACCCCAGGCAGCTCGTTTCCTATTTGAGTTATTAAGCTCTCAGGCGAGTTAAGGAGAAAGGCTGAAGAAAACAGGGCGGTGAGGGGTTTACAATGACGGGAGATCTTAAAGGCAGCAGGGCACAGCTATCACATCGGACGTCACTTTAAAAGAAAAAAGCGTGGGAGCTGTAAGCAACAAAAGGCACGGTAATTGGCGCTGGCTGCCTAAAAGCAGCCTCGCCTTTGAACCAAAGACAGCGTATAACAGGTGCCATCTTTTGAGCGCTGGCTGCTTTTTTCCTCAGCTGTTTGAAGATCGAAGGTGGGAGCAACAGCTCTAAGTAGTTGAAGTTGCAGAAAATTACTGAAAATACATTTCCCATGTAAAATGAACCCTCTATTTAAGAGTAACGTGCAAATGCCGTTTCTTTTCTCGGTGTTTTTGGGGGAAGGTTTAGGCAAAATAAACAGCAGGCCACCCAGTGAACACCTCTCAATAGGGCGCGCACCTCCTCACGGGACAGAGGGGCGGCCAGCGGACCCGAAGGGGGACGCGGGCCCCCACCGGGAGCGGCCAGTCACGGCCGCACGAGGCGACGACCCCATTCAAGGGCTGCTCAACCCCGAGGCGCCGAGCTCGCACAGGAGAGAGGGGAGGCTTACCCGCGGCTGCCAGTTCTCGTACTGCTTCTGCAGGTTGGCCCCGATGGTCTCCAGGGCCTTCTGGGGGCCCATGGACAGAGGATCTGCGGAGAAGCGAAGAGAGCGTTCTTTACTCGTGTGCCGCCACCTCGCTAACCCCCCCATAACTCACCCAGCACGCGGGCCTGAGATGCACCCGGGTTCGCCCGCCTCTCCCCGTAATTTGAGTAAAAGTCACCGGCCCCTGGCCATTTCCCTTCACCCGCGTTCGCCACCTCAGCCCCTGGTTTCCGTGCCCCTGAGGCTTCATCTCGGGCTCCTGTTGGGGCCCAGCGTGGGCCTCTGTCGGGCCGGGGACCCCGTGCGCGAGGGGCCGGGCGCCCACTGACTCCCGGTTCACCTGCTCGCCTCACGAGCGGCCTCGGAGGCAAACAACCCTACCCGGCCACGCCCAAGGTTCACCTGGTCTCGGGGCCTCTTCACGCTCTTTGAAGTCGTGCGGGACCCCAGAGAGCTTTTGTTTATGTGGTTGTATCCGTCGGCACTTACTACACTCAAAATTAAGGTGAGAAATCTTAAAAATATTTCTGTGCTTTCTCCTTTAAAAGTAACAGCAAAGCCACTGCATAAGAACGTATCTTTTGTGAAGAATGACTTCTTCCCAAAACCACGTCACGAGAAGGGCAGCGCTGTCTCACGTCTAGCTGGCTCCTTTAGAGCCTGGTGGGAGGGGGGGGGGACCCCCGCCGGCCCCTGGGGCCCTGGCGAGCCTGCGGGGGCAGGTCGGGGGCGCACGAGCGTGTCTCAGACGAGGGGGGCACCTGCTCAGTCGTGTCCGACCCCCTGGCTGGTCCCCGACAGCAAAGCAAAGCTGGACAAGAGGTGGCGGCACAGACCGCCTGCCACGGGGACGTGAAGCCACGGCGCGGCCGCACCGCGTTCAGGGCCACCCGCCCACCCACACTCTGGACGCGTCCGAGAGCCACAGATGATCCTGTAGCAGCAGCACCAGGCATCTGGAACACAGCGGCTCACTGAGCCACGCAGATCTCCGTCCCATCCCCTGACGTCTCAGATTTTACCACCGGCAACAAATCCTGTCAGCTGTTTCCCTTAAGGTGACTTCTCTCATCTTCCAGAAAGTGTCTGGCAAACACTGTCTGTCTGTACCCTGAAAACAGCAGATGGCTCAGCACACGAGGGCAGCCCCCTGACCCCCACGCCCGTGGCAGGGGTGCTCCCGCGGCTCCCCTTCCCCGCCGCTAAACGTGTGTGTTCAGTGGCTGAAACCCAAAGATGCTAGTAAACTCTGCTGCTTTCTCGGACGATCTGGGGGAAGCAGACAGTCTTCACTGGAATGCTCAGCCGAGGTGAAAACCACAACGAGTCATCTGAGGCCCCAGCCTTCCCTCAGGCTCAGCGCAGCCAGTCAGCACAGCAGAATAGCCAGTGGCACCTTAACATCATTGCAAACACAGTCCCCACCCTGCGGATCCCTGCAGGGGTCTCAGGAACCCACCACGGTCCACAGACCACACTTCAATGTTTGTGGGAAGGTGTTTTCAACAGAAATTCTCTAATTCCACTTAGAAAGCATTTTTCCCTCAAAGGAAAAGGTCAGACCACTGGACGGGTAGAACACCTAAGTCAGCTTCTACCCAGTTCTCCTCCTAACCGGCACTAATTCTCCACCTGACGTCCTGGACTCCAGATCACTCCGCTTCCTCAGACACTGAACTGCGGACCTCTCCGCACTCGCACACCAGCCCTCCCTCCTCACGAGAGCCTCCCCGTGGGCCTCTTTAAACTCACAGCCGTACACGTGTGCTCGGCTCGAGGCAGAGCACCACCAGGCTTTCAGCAGAGCAGCAGCAGCCCCTGCCCTCCAGCCACGTCCCAAGCCGCACCCGTCAGAGGGCAGGACTGGCCTCTCTTCCGCCACCATCCCGCTCCCCCGATCCCTGCTCTCCCAACAGAGCCGCGTCACATCTTCACTAAGATTCAGTGTTTTATGTTAGTAATGTCTGTGGAAATAGTACTCAGCCTGAGCCAAGGAGCGTCCTGAAGTGACATCTTTCTCGAACTGCTTTCAGTCTCCTGTTTTCCGTGTGCCAGCGCTAGTGCTGCCCCAGCTCCCCCGAGCTTCCCGCTCAGGCACTACCGTCCACACAGTGAAGTGCCTCAGCTCCCCTGCCCTCTCCCCACCGCACAGCCCCACCCGGCAGAGGACGGGAGAGTCCTCTCGGCAGAAACGGAAAGGCTCCCAGGAAAAGAGCCTAAAGAGACCTGGGGATGACAGCAAAGGAGCTAATCCTGCAGCCACTGGAGTCTCAGAAAGAGAGAAGCGCAGAGCTCAAAACGCAGTTGAAGATACGATGCCTGGTAACTGCCCCAAACTGGTAAGGGACATAAACCAACAGATTCGCGAAGCTCCGTGAACCACAACCAGGACTCGCCCAAGGGAACCCCCATCCCGGCACATCGCAGTGCAGACGCTAACAATGAACGGCAAGGCAAGTCCCCGGAGAAAGCTCAGATCACAAGCACAGGGTCAGGGACGGGAGCAGCACTGCAAGCGGGGCAAGCAGAGCAACGCCCTCGGCCCCCGTGAAGGTCACTTCAGTCTGGGACGCGAGTGTGGGAGTGGAAGACAGGTCTTTTTCAGAGACGCAGACACGCAATCTGTGTCTCGTGTTCTTCTTGGGGAATAAACCACAGAAGGTCCAGGAAACAAGGCAGAGAGACAGAGAACTCACAAGATACCCACGTCCCCCATCCAGAGACCACGGGGTCCAACAGGAACTACAGGGGCTCTTAAAAACAGTAAAAAGGAACAGATTATCTGAGCACTGGAAACACCACTGCCAGCACGTGTCAGATGTACGGGAATACATGCGAAAAATGAACTCCTCAGTTCACAGAAAATTTAGCGAAAAGAGTAACCGGCAAATCTGTAACTACCGAGGAAAGTCACACACACACGTACAGACGAGAAGGGACTCAGAGCCGCCCCTGGAAGTCGGGGCCGGGGAGAGAGCTCTTCCTTAGCACACCTTCCAGTGCTCTTCGGTTTTTAAGACATGCGTGTGTCACTTGGAGGGAAAAAGAAAATAAAAGCGAATTATAGACTAAACAACAGGACTTTGGCGCTGGACGGGAACTTTGCCACGGACACGTCAAAGTCACCAAGGACTGTTCCCAGAGACCCCCCCCACCCCGAGAGTCTGAGTCCGAGCCGCAGAGCAGGCCGGGCGGCTGATGCGTGGCTCTGGTGGGGAGGCCTGTGAATATCGGGCCGTCACTAACCTACTGGGACAAGTATGGTAGACTCGTTTTAACGCGTAACTAAAGGAGCGAGAGGTTAACTTCGTCGCTCTTTGTCCTGGCAGGAACAGAGTGAAGGTCTCAAAAGACTGTAGATGACCCCGGGCAACTCCACTGTAACCTGAGGCACAGACTGGCTAGTGCATGAGCGGGGACCTGAAAGGCAGAAGTAAGGGCCCAACGCGTGTGAACAGCGCGAAGGGGAGCAGAACACGCTTCCACAGAGAAACCACCAAATAATCGTCACATCGCCGCCGCGCCTTGTGCAGGGCGCCCAGGGCAAAGCCAGGGCTGGTCAGAGGGCATCTGAGCCGCCCGCCCACACTTCCTCGGGGCGCCTGGGGCGGCTCTTGGGCACGTCCTCCAGAGACCCACCACAAAGACGGGGAGGAGGGGGAGTTTGTTCAAAGGCCCACAGGCTGTGGGCAGCGGCGGGGGGTGGGCACGGGACGGGAGCCACATCTCCTTGGAAAGCCCAGCACCCCCTCACTCCATCCGCCCCAGGGGTTCCCGGAGGGCCTGTGGAAAGGTGCGGGAGGTGGAGGAGTGGCTGCCATACTGGCATCATCCTGCAGACACCAGAACCCTCATTAGGAGCCCCAGGCTGACGGCAGCCCCTCCCTGCTCCCCGGTCTCAGATCAAAGTACCGGCCGCCCAAGGAGGGAGCGGGGCAGCCACTGACCATTCATCAGGCTGGCACCAGCGAAGGGAGGCTGTCACATTCGATCCCCCGGGAATCCCTATGGCCAATTAGTTTATGGTTTCCTCCCAAGAATCTGACAGCGAGTGGGAGAGGGAAGGGCAGAGGGGAAAGGATGAGAGCCACAACAGGGCACCTGGTACCACATTCACTGAGATAAACAGCTAAATAACGTGAATAAACTGAAATTAAATCCCTGGGTGGGAAGTGTGGACAGTGCTGTCAATCTGACGTGGGGCGAAGTGGGCAGAACATAAATTTTAAAAGGTAGGCCCGTCCTAAGGAATCACTTGTCTTCCGGTGCCTTCCTGGGTTTCTGTTTAATGAAGGAAGCAGGTGAGCGAGTGAGCGAGCGGGTGGGCAGGTGGATGGAAGGAAAGGTAGGTGGTAATTGGCATTTGTGTAAAATTTAATCTTCCTGTCTGCAAGACTTCCTGCGTGACCCTCTGTAATTCATGACGCTTGGAAGTTCACACTGACAAGGACTTAGGCCAACCTTTCCCACAACCCAGAAGAGAAAGCTTAAGTTTAAAATGGCCGGATGTGGGGAGGGTGCAGCTCAGCGTGCTCAGCGCACAGAGGTCCTAGGTTCAATCCCCAGTGCCTCCACTAAAAAAAATAATAATCATAATTTTAAAATACATAAATAAATGTAATTACAGCCCCCCCCCAAAACAAAATAAAACAGTCGAACAACTTGGCCCAAAGCCACAAGGTCACTGATGGTGCTGGCACTCTGCCAACCCAGAAAGTGGAGCCTTTTTTTGTTTTCAACCCACTGCATCTTCTTCACACTTACATGGGCCAGCCACCAGGTCTGGCCCGCTTTTCCCTCCACAGAGCCTGCGCTCCACCACTGGGACCGTGGTGGTCAGCACACCGCACCCTCCAGTCAAGGCTGTGCTGGTCCTGCCGAGACCCCTCCTCCCGGCCGTGTCCCTGGACCCACTGCAGAGGGCAGAGGTCGGGGCCCAGCAGGGCCCAGTGACCTGCCTCCTCCCAACCCCTCTGGGGACCCGCACAGCGAACGCTTCTGAGATGCTGCTTCTGTGACACTCCCCCCGAGAGGCCTCCGGTGC